TTGTGATGGGTAGTGCCAGAGATGAACCCTTTGAATACCACTTCCTTATGCAATTTTCTTTCCTTGAGCACGGGCTGGACCTAAGGAACTAGTTTTGAGATATATAGTATGGTGACTACAAGTAATAATACTAGATTAGATGTTTGAAGTCACTGAAAGTACATCTTCAATGTTCTCTCTTAGATATATGAAGTAAGAGATGTATTAATTAGATTAATTAACTCATTTAACAGTGCATATGTATATCAAATATGCTGCACACCATAAAAACATGCAACATTTAATTGGCAATTATACTCTTCCAAATCTGGGTATAATTGAGAAAAAAGAATCTGCAAAATTAGGCTAGGAACATACTGGCTTTTTTCTTCTCTCACTGGTTAAAGACATTTAAATGCTATGAGCTGCCCTGGAACATGTGACAGGAAACAGAATTGTCCAGTCAATAGCCAACAAGCAACTAAGTCCCTCAGTCCAACAGACAATGAAATACAACAACTATGCAAGTGAGCAAGATGAACCCTATCAGCCATCACTTCCCACCACTAAAATCAAGGTGTTGGCTGAACTTTCTGAAGGCTCTAGCAGAAAATCCATGTCCATATCTCTTTTTCAGCCTCAAGAAACTTTTTGAATTCTTTGGTTAACACCACCCTACCTCCCTCAAAGGCAAGAATAGCTAGCTGAGTCTCTCATATCAATTTGTCACTCCCTCTCTGTCTCTATTCACTAAAAAGCAACCTTGTGATTATACTTGGTCAACCTAGATAATCTAAGGGAAAAATCTCTTCAAGGGTCATCTAAGTAGTAGCCTTAATTTCAAGGTACTTTTAATTTCCCTGTTGCATGTGCTATAGCATACTCGCAGTTTCCAAAGATTAGATTGGGGCATCTTAAATGTTCTCATCACAATTGTTGACTATGTGAAGTGATGGATGTGCTAATTATTTTAATTAAATCATTTCACAATGCATACATATATCAAAACATTATGCTGTACTCCAGAAAAATAGAACTTCTATTTGTTAAACATTTTGGAAGCTGATTTTAAGCTGGGTGTGGAGGTGCTTGTCTTTAATCCCAGCACCAAGAGGCAAAGGCAGGAATACCTATATGAGTTTAAGGATACCATGGTTTACATAGACAGTTCCAAGGCAGCTAGGGCTATTTAGTGGATGTAGTCTTTTTTTTAAATTTATTCTTTACTCTTGGGGGGGCTGCCACCCAGCTCACAAATAATCACATGGAGACATTCTTTTTTTATGAATGAACAGCCTTAGCTTGGCTTGTTTTTAGTCAGCTTTTCTTAACTTAAATTATCCCTTCTACCTTTTGCCTTTGGGCTTTTATCTTTCTCTATTCCATATATCTTTCTTTACTTCTTACAATAGGAACTCTTTATCTAACATTATTTTAAGATAAAAGTTAATGGATATGAATCATCAATTACGAATTATCATGGCTCTTGAAATAAATAAAGCTTTACATAATGTTTAAATGGGAAGGCCTTAAATTATTTTCTGAATATTCCAAAGTTGCAAATATCATGACATTTTGTTAAAAATGCTGTGGCACATATTCTATTACCATAACACAGCTGAGAAGTTTAACATTGGCAATTACTAACTTAGAGTCCCTCTTTGTCAGAACTCTCTTTCTATCTCAAGCATGTCCTTTACAGATAATCAAGAAGCACTCAGTGCATTTGACCATCATAATGTTTAAACTCAAAGCCATGCTGCCTTTTTGCTGTTAATAGCATAGATCATCCCTCCCCTAGCCTTGAAAGCAAGCAGTCCATGGTATATGTAAAACAACATCCTGGAAGCCACTGGAGGGGTGAAATAGGTTTGGGATTCCTGCCCACACCCTCTTCAGATAGTCCATTTGACTTGTCCAGCAGCTCCTTGGAAAATATCAATTTACAGAGATTTTGTCTTTTACATTCATTTATTTAAAATCTCAATTTACAGGGATTTTGGTGTTTACACTCATTTATTTAATGGTGTGGTGTGTGTGTGTGTGTGTGTGTGTGTGTGTGTGTGTGTGTACGCGCATGTGCACACATGTGCAAGAATACATGCACACATTCCACAACATCCATGTGATTGTCAACTGGAGGCTGGCTGTAGGATGCTATGGTGGAGAATTTGGTTTGGGGAAAGATAACATACATACAGACCTTGCCGCCCTAAAGAACTTACAGAAGAACCTTCAGTTGGAGATGAAACAAATATTTCTTTTCTGTTTGCTCATGGCTTTAGATGTTGAATAATAAAAATATACAGTTCTCTCACTAACCTCCCAAAAATATAAACTAAAAAACTTCCTTAACCCCATCTCCACCTCTTGAAAATAATCATGATTTATAGTTTAGTACATACCTGTCTAGAACATGTACATATGTATTTTTCAGTTGAATTAAGTGAGAACTTTGCACACAATACTTGCTGTGTTTTTTATATGATGCACATATTCATATATATTCTATACATAATGTGTGACCTATATTTTAAAGTTAGATTGTATGCCATTTTGTTACTGGGACATCATTTATTTAAATAGCCTTCTACTATTGAATATTTAGGTTATTTACAGTCATTTATTACTATTCTATACTATAGTGAAGAGCCCTCGGTATAATCTTTCTATAATCCCCTCCCTCCATGCCTCCCTTCATTCTTCCCCCTTCTTGTTTCTTGACTCTTCAGTTCTGGTAGCTGGACCCAGGGTTTCACACATACTAATCAAGTGCTCTAACACTGAGTCACACCCTTACCACCTTTTCTTGTATCTTCAGGTAGGATCTTACTATATAGCAAACTCGTGATCCTCCTTAACTTCCTGAGTAGCTAGATTTAGGGGTATTCACCACCAAACCCAGTAAGATTTATTTCTCAAAACTGATTGCTGTATTGATGTAATTTGAACTTGTAGGGTATGTGTAATATGAGTTTCTATAGCTACTTCAAGGTTGCCCTTTATAGAAGTAACTACAGGGGCTACAGTTTCCCGTCTCTCCCACCTTGTACTTGCATCTTTCATAGGATCATGCTGACATTGAGTGGAAGTTTGCGAGAACGAAGCTCTGGATGAGTTACTTTGATGAAGGTGGAACGTTGCCACCACCTTTCAACATTATCTCCAGCCCCAAATCATTCCTCTATCTTGGCAACTGGTTCAACAAAACCTTCTGTCCCAAAAGAGACCCGGATGGAAGACGAAGGAGGCACAACTTGAGAAGCTTCACAGTAAGACAAAAAAAAAATCTGTTTCTCTTTACACAAAACTGTTTTCCTCCTTTCCCCTCTTCAGAACAGTTCCTATCTTAAATACTGTAAAATCATTCCAACTAATGCTCTTGCTATCTGTCTGTCAGAAGCCACAGTATCATTCTACAATCTTAGTATTTACCAATCATTGGGGTGGGTGAATGGGTAGGGTGCTGGCCAACTGTTGTAACCTCTCTGTCCATTTTGAATTACAGGAACGCCATGCTGATAGCCTGATACAAAATCAACATTATCAGGTACTACTTCCCCACTGGAGCTAAACACAATAGTTGTCAGACAGTTCTGTGGAATAGAAATGCAAATTCTACTCTAGCTGTGTCTGGACTTAACTTGGCTAGGAGCCCTGGAAAGACTGTAATTCACTCAAGACTGGAGTAATTCATCAGGATGGAGTCATCTGCTCTATAACCCTGCTCATATTGTTTTAACACTACCTTGTCTGGATTTGAGTCATCCATACCTTAGAAAGCTATCTTCCTTGAGATTAAGTAGCGGATATATAGTTGCTCAGTCAATGAATAAATGAGTGCCGATTATATACCAAGCATTAAAACACACATTAGAGAAATCATTGTGAAAAAGCAAGACACAATCTTTGTACACATCAGAAGCTTATCAGGAATGGAAGCTATGACACCATTAAAATTAATAAAATTAACTGATTAGAAGGATAAAACTTGCTGTGAACAAAAAGCACATACAGCAATGGGAATACATAATAAATAGCAAATATAGAATAAGAGGAAGTTATTAGTAACTTCAGTGAAGTAAAGTCTTACATCAGGATACAGGTCTCTCTAAATTATAAGCATGGCTTTAATCTAAGGAGCAAATGTATGCTTCTTATGAGACCAGCCAGAAGGCAGCCAAATACACAAATATGTGAGATACTTAGTGAAAGTAATCTTTGAAAATCACAGAAATAGACTATATTTAATCTTCTAGATAAAAATAAATGCAGATTAGGGGATGTATCTATCTCAATTTGTAGAGAGCTTGCCTACCATGCATGAGGCCCTGGGTATGATCTCCCACACCATATAAACTGAGTGCGATGGAGGCAAGAGGACCAGAAGTTCAAGGTTATCCTCAACTATGTAACAAGTTCAAAGACTAGCTTGGGTTATATGAGACTTTGTCTTAAGAAACCCAGACAGGAAAATGTACTACAAGTTTTAAAGGAAAGGAAACTCAACCATACTTCACAAATGGCTTCCTTAATTTTGTTCCTCTTAGGTGTAAATAACCTAACAATGAGTACAGTATTTCATGGGTAACCCTTCTCTCACTATACCCACCTCCAACTCTAATAATTTTAGAAGATAGTGAAACCTAGGCAAGATTCATCACATCTTTTTCTGCTTCAAACACACTAACAGAAGGAAAGGACACTCCCTGGGCATCTCAGTGACTTATTGAAGTTCATGGGGTAGCAGAAGTAGTAGCTACAGAATTGCTAACTATTACTATAGGCTTTGGAATCAGCTTGAAGTAGAAATGAAATCTCATTTGATATTTCCTAGCAGTGTGACCCTGAAGAGGCCAGTTAACAACACTAAGCCCCAGCTTCTTCATGTGTAAAATAGGAATGATAATAAGTTAAATTACAGTGCCTGACACATTGCAGTATGTGGTAGCCATCATCAATATCAACCTTGCAACCATGTGTATTCCATTACCCCTGGGCTAATAGAGGCATTCCCTATAAAGGTGAAGTGTAGGTTGATTTCAAGAAAAGATGTTTTAATTACAAAATTACTAGCTCATGATGGGTGGTGATGGTACACACCTTTAATCCTGGCACTCGGGAGGCAGAGGCAAGCAGATTTCTGTGAGTTCTGGGCCAGTCTGGTCTACAGAATAAGTTCCAGGACACACAGGGTTACACAGAGAAACACCGTCTCGAAAAACAAAACAAACAAACAAACAAAAATACTAGCTCACTTAGTGACTCTTAACTTCATGATGAGAAAATCCCTTATTTCACTAAAAGTATTAAAGTTTAATCCAGTCCATAGAAATGAATATTGAATATGAGCATTCAAGGACTATTTTACTCTCTGCATACACACACGCACACGCACACGCACACACACACACACACACTGAATACAAGCTGACCTTATGCTTGAGTAGAAATTCTTCCTTTGGGGAAGATTTAATGGTGCTGGCACATCAGAGTTGCAATGACTTATTAACCCAGTGAGCTTAAGTTTTTTGGCAGAAACACTTTAGATCCAGCAAGGATTTCCTATTGCAAAGATGAGTTTTCTGAGCAAATTCTTTATTTACCTGAAAGTCTGAAAAGGAAACTGAATACCTCTGTGTTTTTCAATTCCAGGAAGTTATCAGAAATTTAGTCAAGAGATATGTGGCTGCAATGATAAGAAACTCCAAAACAAATGAGGGGCTAACAGAAGAAAATTTTAAGGTAATTTAACCATGAAGTGGATAAATCTCTCTCTCTCTCTCTCTCTCTCTCTCTCTCTCTCTCTCTCACACACACACGCACACACACACAGACCCACCTCTCTCTATATCTCTCTCTCCCTCCCTCCCTCTCTCTTCCTCTCTCCCCCCTCTGTCTCTCTGCCCCTGTTTCTTTGAGTGTTTTCCCCTGTCCATTGAGACTATAGTCAAGCTCTAATTCCTCATTTCCTGGGCATACTTTAATCTTCATAGAGTCTGAGAATTCTGATAACGGACTTCCATCTTCCTATAGTGCAGAAAATATCAATTACAATTCTTATTCTTTTAAAAAAATGATTCTTTATAAAGTTTTGAAAATATGTTTGTGTTTGTCTTTGTTTTGTATATATGGATGTTTTGCCTGCATGTTTGTTGCCTGCGGGAGTCAGATTCCCCTAGGAGTGGAGTTAGAGGTTATTGTGACGCACTATGTGGGTATTGAGAACTGAACTCAGGTACTCTG